ATTTCTTTAAAAACATGTCTTTCATTTCTTTTGTGCATTTGAGTCTGAAAGTATATCATTCGAGGATACATTCACAGTCCTGCGTCACGGCGTTGGTGAGAGGTTTACAGCTGTGGGTCGTCTGCTAATCGGAAGTTTTGCGGTTCAATCCCTGCTCCTCTAATCTGCGTTTAGAAGTATCCCCGGGGAAGATACTGAAGTAAGAAAGCGCTTTGAGTGCTCAAATGAGTGAGTGTTGAGTGTTCTGCTGGAGGTTTCTTCCTGTTAAAAGGGAGTTTTTCCTTCCCACTGTCGCCAAAGTGCTTGCTCATAGGGGGTCATATGATTGTTGGGTTTTTCTCTGTATGTATTATGGTAGGGTCTACCTTACAATATAAAGCGCCTTGAGGCGACTGCTGTTGTGATTTGGTGCTGTGTAATTAAAATTGAATTGAATTCAAGTAGAGTAGAAAACCGTTGTATAAATATCAGTCTATTCAAATATATACTGAGCTACTTCAGGTCGAAGGACTTCTGTGATTATCACACGTTGGCTGGTGAAGTCCATTTTCATAAATGTTATCTTCAAGATTAAAAACTGGATGTGAAGTAAGCAGCTGTTCTGCTGAGAATCCAAGAGACACATTTCCATCACATGGGCCCATCCTAAAACCTGCTTTATCGTTTTATTTTATTTTCACACTAATGAGAAGCATTAAAGCAAAAAAAATCTTCCTGTCTATTAGCTCAGACCAGAGTGTTTACAGAGTTCAACATTAAAGGGAGCCGAAGGGTCTGATGTACTACTGGGAATAGTATTGGGTAGTCTAGAAAGCTTGTCTTGTCTTTTGCCTGTAGACTCAGTGTAATCATAAGCAGAGACGTGTTTGTAGAGATGAAGAGTACAGAGTCCGAGACTCCTCCTGTTAAAGGGGACACTGATGGACAGCTGCTAATGCTGAGTTAGCGAGTGGGTGAATGAGGAAGCGCTGTATGGCCTGGCAAACTGACTGAAGTCTGTACTATGAGCCGGTGTCTGCACTGCTACTTTGTAATGAAACCACGTGGATGTCTGAGTCGGTTCGAGCCGCATAAACACTTTCAAATGCTGAAGTAACATCAACTTTTTTTTATGAATCTTCCTGCCGTGTCCTCCTACTTAACCTCTTTCTACCTCTCTTTACCACACTCGCTGGCTCGCTCACTTTCCCCCTCGCTTCCTCCCATGCAGTCTTTTAAGCACCACGGCAACCTTCTCGGAGGGATTGGTTGCCAGGAGACAGGATTCGCTCCCCATTGTATGCTGACAAAGGTGGCGGTGAGGTGGGGGGGTTACAATCAGCAGGACTGTGGAGAGTTGGAGGCCTGTGGGACTGGCGCTTTACAATTACGGGTGTGTTGGAGACAGAGGCTGGGAGGGACAGAGAGGGGGATGAGTGAGTGAGATAGTGGTAGTGGGGGGGTACAGGGTGGAGCACGCTGACACCCTAAATTCCTTCTGCTCATTCATTCCTGGTCTCCCAGTAACCATGCTGGGTGTGCTGCGTCAGACAGTGAGTCGCTCACAGAGACGCAGACAGCCACGAATAGTTATTAGGATAGACTTTAATTAGCCAGCATGCACTCCCTCATTGCTCAGCTCTCCTCCTACATGCACACACAGCACGCATCTTACTACAATGGCAGACTCTGAGCTCAAGGAAATAAATCTGTGGCTGGAGTCTTTGCATGACTGCGTTTACAACCAGCCCATTTTTCATAGTTTTCCTTGGAATTTAATGATGGCCTTCCTTATCACTCGATTATATTACCCTCAGGGAAGAAGGCCTGTTTACTTTTGCTCTGCTGCTGTTTCTCTTAATAAACACTGAAGCTCATCCTATATAAGCCGATGATTGTATGCAGCACCGCTGCAGACTTTGACCTCAGTGAGATCATATCTGTTCTGATTGTGGTGTTTCACATCCTGAATACAGTATATGTTGCTCAACACTGTGTGAGCTACAAACAGTGTGGCGTGCCTTGTGACATAAGAAGGCATTTTTTTTCCTGTTGGTAATGTTGAAATCATAACAATGAGCTCAACTGAGATGTCCTAGTGTATTTCTAATACACCCAGTGGGTAAATATTATTCATTTGTGGGCTTAAAGGCCCTGAAAACCTCTTTTCACACTCACGGCTCAGTTAAAGTTTTTATGTATGGGGCAGATTCTTGTCAGTGATTGAAAGAAGATGGGGCCCAGCTAACGTGATGCCATATGCTGTGTGCTGTCGCACTCACAAGTCCTGATGTAGCAGATTGTCTGATTTTAAAGATGTTTCAGAGCTTTATTTTCAGCACATGCTTTGATCTAATTTGTATTGTCATTTTTGGGCCGCATCAAACAACATGTTAGCATGCGGCCGTGAGTATGTGCATGAGCTGCACTGTTGTGTGCATGTTGTGTGTACATGGAAACACGGCTTTAATCAGACACAGGTGAAGCCAGTAAACTGCTGCATCCCTACTTGTGACATTCATCATCATCATCTATCACTTTTAGAAAGGTAGAAATCTCCCGTGCATGCTGCCTCTTACATCAAATCCAGTCTGTTTTTTGCTTTCATTAAGTCTAAAACTGTCATTTACCCGCGAGAGATCTCTGCTGGCGACCTGAGCGGCGCCGCTTCTACATACGCAGACTCTGCTGTTAGCTACAATAGCAGGAGGAAATAAAAGCTCAAATTCACTGCAGCTCATGGCAACTAGACCAACAAGTCTATTGCAATATGGCAAAACTCATGGGCACACCCCAGCTCTCATTGTTTTATGTCTAAATGAAGCTTTGGAAAACAGTGACATGGAAGAGACCCTTGGATGACACTCTGGCGCTTCAACAGATCATTAAAGCTAGTTACGTTACACATTTAATGTCTGAAAAGGGCTTATGAATACTCAGATTACCTTATTTGCATTGCACTTCCTCTACTGGAGTTTATACTTCCTGAAGCAGGATTAAATGGATTTATATCATCGTTGGGGGGAAAGCTGTGTCTGCATGTTGGGCGTGATGAAGAATTAAGAATACACTACCTGTGTTTTCTTTATCATAACATATTCTGTAGCCTATCACAGAATATGTTGTCATGGAGGTGTACAGGCAATCAAATGTGTCTGCCCGTTGAAGGTAAAATATCCTGAAATGGCATTTTTTCTCATTTGTGTGGTGCGTAATGAAAAAGGCCTCTAGCTGCACTGTAATTGAAACAAATGCTACCCAAGGCTCCAGATAGCTGCCATCGATTCAACAGGTGCGTCATTACTCATCAGAGAAAGCAGTCGCTGCGATAAACCATTCCAGCTGATTGTTTTTCTCTCCTCTCTAAGCAACTTTAAAATGTGCTGCAGCTTCTTTAAGTGTTTGATGAATCGACACGGCGTTCCTTAATGCAGATGCCAGGCTGAGTATCCGCTTTGACAGTGACAGACACACATCTAGCTTTTCTCTATTTTGCTTCCCATTTCTCGTGCTTCTGCTGAAGGCGGCGGATCGTTCCCATCAAGGGCATCTGTCAAAATCTGTGGGCCGAAACAACCAGCTGCAGCCCCGGTGGCCATGGGAATAAAACTGAGCTTGTGCTATCATATCAAGTGCTCACATTCTCTGAGCTTCAGCAGTAGTGGGTTGGAGTCAGATTGTCACACTCTGTATGTGTTTAAGTTTCATTCTTTCGTCTGCCACAGGGGCATGAAGCCACTGAGGGACGGGGACTTGACTTGTAGCTAACGCTTTCTTTACCTTGAGAGCCTGGAAAACATATTTCCCCTGCAGTGAGCTGTCTCGATGTTAGAATTGCCACATCAGATATCCTGGTTAACCCTACTGTATGATGACATTGAAACGTCGGGGTTAGGCATCCGCGATCAGCTGGTTTGGATAACAGAATACTTTGAAGGTTAAACGATGAATTGTAGTGGTCGTAGTAACCCTCTATGGCACACGATGCACTGAAACACTGTTTGTTTGCTACATCTACACCTTGGAAGCTGATTTTTTTTCCTTCCTTTGATTTTAATTTTTGCTGTTAATGTGTGTAAACAGTTGCCAGGTTTGGCTGCTGTTCCACCAAATACGTGTGCAGATTAGTCCGCTCCATCTGTCAGTTAGTATATGAAAGGAGCTAAAATGAGATGCAGATGTCGCTATGGACCCAGCAGATACATTTAGTTACATGTGTTTGATGCTATTTTGCAGTATTTTTAAGTGTAACACGTTTAAAGCACTTTTTCGCAGCAACATATTGAGATAATTCTTTTTTTTTTTTTAAGAAGTTCTCCCCCTGCTCGTTGGTTGGACGGTGGCAAGCTGTCAGAAGGATTTTAATACATTGAGGCGGCATGTGACAACTCCATTCTCTATGGGCTGTGCTCCTGCTGGAGCTTAAATCTCTTATTGAATAAAAAATCTTAACCCAGATGATGTCGCCCTGGAAATTATGTTTATTCATTCTAAGAATAAATGCTTAAGAGGCTGCTTCAGTTTGTCGTTATTATTATCACCATTCGTTCAGCTAAGCTACGATCTGCTGCGTTAGTCTTGCTTTACATTGTGCAGATGTAAAGAATATATATATCTGAGACAAAGAAAGATACAAACATGACATGAGTTGTAAAGAACAGAAAAGCAAAAATTTCTTTTGCTGTTTTATATTTATTTTTTGTTTTTCTGTCAGTAAATTTAAACCCTTTATGCTGTGATGCAGTGTTTTTAGCACAAGGCTTGCTCTCTTTACTGAAGCTTAGTGCAGTCACCCTTATCACAGACTCTAAGCTCTTTGGTCTCAGAATAAAAACTCCTGTCCTAATCATGAAAAACATGCTTTATTCTCATTTTTTCTTTCAAATGATGTTAAGCAGAATATAAAGTCACCTCCAAAACTGTCAGTAAGCTCACAGTTAACAGCTCTTGCAAACGTAGTTGTCCTTGTGTTATTGTATATGTTGCCGTTTGTGACTTTAATTAATGTTCTTTGCTTCCAGGGTTGACCTCAGGTCTAGAGATCACATCATCTTCAGCATCTACGCCCACGGAGGTGGCCAGCGGACAGAGCGTGAAGCTGGATTGCCAGTTCACTCTGGCTTCTGAAGATTCTGGACCGCTGGATATTGAATGGAGCTTGGTGGCGTCTGACAACCAGAAAGACGACCAAGTGGTAAGTGTTTTAAAATGAAAATATGTGTGTGCTGTCCTTAATTCACGACGGCCTCTGGGCTATGAAAAGAGCTTGGGAAGCTGTTGAAGCCCTGACAGCACGTGGAGATCCTCCATTTAATGGCAGCCTCGTTCAGTGTTTAAATGTGAAGCCATGAGGAATATTAACTATGTCTGAATGAAAGAATGCCATCACTTTAACAGATGAAGCCAGCGGAGTGCCTGAAACAGCCTTTAGAGATGGTTTCTACTGTGGGACGGTCCTCTCCCGTGGCTCTCTGCTCTGCCACCTGTCACAAAGCTTTTTCATCCCTCTCTCCTTTTTTTCCTCCTTCCCTTGCGTCCTATGGCTTTTTTGTGAGCCAAATGTTATAAATGGGTCACAGCCTCATCATTAGGCATCTCTGTCCTCCACCCACTGTTGTTTCTGTCTGCAGTCCCAACCAGCCCCCCTCTCAGTCAGGTAGAACTGACTGTCTGCACAGTTTTGCCTTTAACTCTGTTTCTTTTTGCTGTGGCTCATTAGCTGGAGTGTGGGAGGAAATACACGTTCCTAGTATATTTGTGATTGTCATGATGAAAGCTCATTGCGAGCACTTTCAGCATGTCTCGTTTTTGTATGAACTGGCCTCTTCCTTGTGTCTGAATACAGCTGCAGAAATACATCAAATATCCCCAAAAAGCCTTTGATTCCACAGTTTGTCTTCATTGCGTGCCATTTTGCTGGCTCCAGTGTCCACATGTGTTAATGTTTCCAAACCTTTGGAGGGATTTGGACAAGTCGGACGTCTCTCTCTGAACATATTTGTTCTCCTTGACCTATCAGATTTTTCTCGCTACATACGCACGCTCAGATTTGTGTAGCCGTTAACCAACGTGAAGTCGTGCGCACAGTAAATTCTTTGTAATTAGTGGCGTGTTAACTCCAAATTGCCATTTTTAATATATGTGACAGTGTTGAATAGAATTAGGCCAACCTGCTAAGAGCAAAGCTGCCGGGCCAGTCGGAGCAATGAAAGTTTTTAGCCAGAGGCTCAGAACCTTTGCTCACCTGAGCTGTGGAAATCCAGACAAAGGGAAAGGCTGCTGTCAGATAATATTTTTAAATGGAGAACTAGTCTGTAAGATCAGGACACAAGGCCGGGGTTGTATGGCATGTGTGGCATATGCCAGTGACCTCATTTGAAGCTTTTGTTCACATTAATGTGCTTTATGTTTGAGCTTTTCTCAGCATCGATGTAGTGGCAGCGCCTTTTATTTGACACATCCTACATATCGTCAGGATCTTTTTCAGGGTGGTGAAGCATAGCTAATGCATCCTGCTTTGTTAGGCCTCAGTGTGAGATGCCAGACATGCCTACAGTATCAGTCATTTGCATTTGGCTCTCATTGCCTGGCTACAGAGCTGCTGAAGGGAGGGCGTGCCCTGACTGAGTATTCACCACCAATGTGAAAACAACAGAAAACAATTACGAAACCTGATGTCAGCAGAGAAAGAGCACGCAGCTCTATCACACAACCTGCTTCCTTTATCTTTGAGTGTAACAGCAGAGCCTTTTGTTTGTTGACGTTATTGAAACGGGAATTTCTGTGTATTGAAGGGTTTGTGTGTAAAAATGTGACAAGGTTTGGTGAAAGTTGAATCGTTTCTATTCAGAGGCTCATGGACGTGTTTTGTTGGACATTTTCAGGTAGAGGTTGAGCGCTAACCTCGTGAATCGGTTTGAGCTCGTCCCCTGAAAGGTGGCGGCGGCAGCACGTTGAGCCATCCGAGTCAGCAGCCTCAGTGGGAGCGCAGAGACAGAAGGGTGCTCCCCTTCAGCTATGCAGGTTGTTTAGATCATACAGGTATTGCTGCTGTGTGCTTTGCCTCTCAAATGAGCTGCAGCTTTTCCTCTTTCACTCCCCGAGTAACAGCGTCACATGACGATGATGTCATCTCAACGTGTGCTCCGTGAAACTGGCCAGTAGAGCTCTTCTTACCTCTGCAGCGGCCTACCGTTCAGTCACATTGAATGGTAGGCCAGCTGGCGATTGCATCGTTACACAGCCTACCTGTTGTGAGATGCAGCACTTCTGTCCTTCTCCAGCTGGTCTAGTCATTTGCCCTTTATGGTTTCATGATCTTTTTTTTTTTATTATTCTCAAGGTTATTGTGCAGTTTATTTCTTTATTATTTTAGCTGGAGGTGTGCATGTGCATAAGCACTCCCATCTGTGAAGTAGTTGAGCCCAAGTGAGAGCTCTTGTCTGGCTGAGCTCGGGGCAATTTAATTTCCTCTTCACCGTGGTCTCATCTCGCTCATCTCTGTTATTGCTGCTGATGTTGTGATCCCCAGTGAAGTCAGAAGGATAGGTTTTCCTCCCCTGAGAGCCAAGAGGAATTTTACCACAATTACCTGTTTACATGGCTAATACGTACAAGATGAACACAGCGGGCACTGCGAGTTCGCCTGTCTCGAGAAGCCAGGCGTCCAGTTGGGAATTGAGAGGCAGGGCGAGTCTCAGAGAGGCACATTAGAAGCTCGCTGACTCGTTCCCTTTGTTTTGCGCCTTGTGCTTCCTTTCAGTGCTCTGCTTCCTCTGATAGGTTCATTATTCCTCCTCTCCTCCTGCCACCTTAACTTTCTCTCTGCTCGTCTCCACTCTGGGGTATTGCTGTGTCTGCTGTTGATCATGGCACAGAAAAGCCTGCTGATGACTGTCTCCATGGAAATGTGTAGAAGATGCCAGCGTCTGTGAAAGAGACTGAAAATTCTTTTCATTGTTTGTGTTTCTTGTAGCCTCTGTTCTTTTTCTGTGTGTTTCTGTTCCCCCCTCCACTATCTGCCCACTTCTAGCTACAAAGCCTCTCATTAGCTCCACCTGGCCTTTATTTCTAGGCATTTCCTTGCTGCTTTCAAGACCCAGACAGTTGTGTGCGTGTGTGTGGTGAAGTGGTTGGATAGAATTGGGAGCTTTGTTGACACAGCAGGTGTTGATTTAGCTCCACAGTGCTGGCTTTGTTTGTTCCACCTTCATTCTTCTTACGCACAGAAAGGGCAAAACAGCAGAGGCTGGCAGGCTGAAGGGCAGCGCAGAGATAAGAGACTGTCCTTTATTGCTTCTGTGCATTTCAGCTGGTTCAGTAAACAAAGCCAATGCTTGCAGGAAGTAAACAACTTTCGTCTCAGCGGCTTTGTTCACTTTCTTTTTCTAGCAGAGTCTGTTTTATGTTTTCTTTGGTTTAAATGTGAATCTTTGCTTTATTTCCAAAACAGATCATTTTGTACTCTGGCGACAGAGCCTACGAGAACTACGACACACCCGTCAAAGGTCGGGTCCACTTCAATTCGCCCGATCCGAAGAATGGCGACGCCTCAATCAACGTTCTAACGGTGAAGTCAACGGACACCGGCACCTACCAGTGCAAAGTGAAGAAGGCCCCTGGTGTCCGCAACAAGAAAATGCAGCTGCTTGTTATGGGTATGTGGGACGCTCACATTAGCATCAGGCTAGCAGTCCTAGCACTGTTTTTCCCTCACAGGGTCAATTCTCTCTGCCTCTGCTGTGGAAACGCAGCAGATCATACGCCCTTTGTCCACTTTGGCTGTTTTGATGTAATCCCTCCTAAGAGAGCATGACCTTCCCTGTGGCTGTAGAGCATTGCCCCTACGCTCGCCGCGATGGTGTCTAAAAGGATTATTCAGACATTCGAAAATATTTTTTTCTGTATTTTACCCATTTTAATACCTGCTTTGTACAATTATAACGTCAGTCAGGAAAAGTTATGCTTTTCCACTTAGAAACCTTAATTAACGGCTGAGCTAGCGACAGCATTGCTAATTAATGAAAAATTCCACTGTTACAAATCAGGCTGAAAGGAAGTGAATGCGCTCAGCTGTTGTTTTTATTGCACAGAGTGAGATGGGTGACACATCATAGTTGTATAAGTCAGACGATTCAGTCCCGAGGCAAACACACTCACAGTGGCCTCACTGGTCAGTCAGGCAGCTAAATGATGTTGAAAGTGAATCGCCTCCCGAAACCAGCTCGCTATTTGCATGTGGGGAAAAACAGCCTACACGTGTAACACTAGTGCGTGTGTGTGTGTGTGTGTGTGTGTGTGTGTTGTGGGATAAGCTGTGTATTTAGCTGCTGTGGAAGCTCTGTTATCAGCACAGTTTCTGTTCTAAAGATAGGACGAGCTCCAGAAATGGCTGCCTCTCCCGCTGACGCGATATCGTGAAGAAAAGTGAGCGCACCGACTAGCTCAACCAGAAAAACACGAGTTGGTGAGAAGCAAACTTGTGATGCTGCAGCACAAAGCAGTTCTCTAATAAAGGGTGAATGCTGCAGATAATTTGGCCAAAAAACGTGGCAGCATCTGACTCGAGAGGCATCGACGAGGCCTTCGGGGAGGCAAACAGAAAAACTTAGTCACTGCTTGAGTCGTCGCTAATACGTTTGACTGCGCATATGCTGTGATAGCTTCTCCTGCCAGCTATGCTTCTACATTTTTCACCAGTGAGGGAGATTTTTAAATTCTCTTTTGTTTGAAATTTTGGTTAGTGTTTGAAAAAAACAGCCTAGTGTCGTATGAAACAGGCTGCATGCAGCACAGGCAGTGGTTGATCTTATGATGCATGAACCTGCTGTGTTTTATCCACCTGTTTCTACAGATCTGTTACAGTTACACTGCCTCCTGTTAAAGTATTAACGAAACGTACGCTGCTGTTCTAGCTATCCTCCTTATTTTAATCATTTGACTTGTTCATTCTGAGCTGCCGTGGATAAGGGCATCGGCTAATGAATAAACATGTAGTGAGGCTGAAATCCGGATAGCTTTAGCTGCGAGTGTTTGTGTGTGTTTGAGAGACCGCTCGAGGCTACAGGAGCTGACAGGCTGCTAGTTGTTGACCCCAGGGGTAGAGGATGTTAAAAGGAGAGGTGAGGACATCTTGCCTGCTCTGCATTTTACCTTGAGGTTGATGTTGTCACGAGGTGGATGGTCCCCAAGAGCAGGGCAGACGTGCACATGTGTGTCTGTGTGCATGAACATAAGCCGACCTGAGTATATCTACTGGGTTTTTGCCGCGGTTTGTCACGATCGCTGCCATGCGCGCACACATGCTCACACCTGCAGTGTACATGGTGTCCAGGTGCTGTGCACAGGGTAGCATGCCTCGTTGTGTATTCTCCTCCGGTTGCAGCAGGACATTGAAGTTAACAGGAGGAGAGTACCCACCTGCAGTTCAGCGCTGCACGTCAGCATCTCTAACAAGTGTTTCTGACTAGGCCCCGCCTATGCTCTCGGCAGCCAATCACTCGGCCCTGCCCGTGTTCAGACAATCCTCATCACATCCAGCTCAAAGCTCAACAGCTGATCTCATTAATTCAGTCTGCCTGGCCCGCGAGTCGCTTATATTTCACTTTACCGTTCCACATTTAGCAAAGTTATTTGTGAAGCGGTGCATCTCCTGTCTGTAATGCATACCAAGATCTGTTTTTCTCTTTCCCACACACCTTGTGCACGTAATAAATCTGTTCATTTAACGCAGTAGGGCCGCCTGTATCGCGTTGTCTCTGTGCTCTTCCAGCCTCCTTTTGACCTCATCATTCAGGAGAATGAATCGGCTCAAAGGACAGAAGCCCTAAAAAAAGAGGAGCTGTGCGTTTCAACGCTCAGATGTGTCGACTTGACTTTCACCTTTAAAAGACGCTTTTAAAAATGTCATAACTCAGTGACATTTACTGTGTGTGTGTGTGTGAGCGAGCGAATGTGTGTCTGCAGCAAAGTGCAGGCCAGAGACTTGGGAGCCACGCAGCCTTGGCGTCCATCACTCTACCATCTGTCCATTAGCACCTGCTTCATGTGTGCTCTCCTGCTTTCTGTTTTACCCCCTCTAACCTCGCCCTGTGTGTTTATTAGATCGGGAGGGGCACTCAGTGCTGTCAGTGTACTGTTAATCCTTATGGTTATGCCTGCTAAGCTCCTCCCTTCCCGCCTGGCACCTGGTTCAGATCTGTAGAGCCCCACTCCAGACGCCATTACAGCACCGTGAAGTCAGCGTCCTGACAGTGAACACAGAGCACAGTCTGTGGCCTTAGATTTCCTCTGTCCAAACATTACCCGTCACTTTCTCTCCCTCCTCTCACTCACCGCGTGTCTGGGCTTGTTTTCGAATCCGTCTCATCTCTTACCAACACCCCGACTGAACGACAGCACACGTGTGCTTGCGTGTCCACTGACGCAGCGCCTTTCTTCCACACGATTATCCTGAGTGACAGCTCTTAATAACAACAGATGTATCAATTACTCTGATTACTGCTCTAATTTGTCAGATGGGCGCTGCTTTGAGTGAGGGAGGAAACTCAACTTTAGAGCTACACAATACACAGACGCACACTGTAAGATTGGAAAATCACTGGGTTGGCTTCCTCTGCCTCTTTGCTCTCCACAGAGAAGCCGTCCAAGCCCAGGTGCTACACTGAGGGCTCCACACATGAAGGCAAAGACGTTGTGCTGAGGTGCACATCTGATGCAGGAAGCAAACCCATGAAATACAGCTGGGAGAAGACTACTGGCAGCAAAGTGCTGCCCGCCTCCTCAGTGCTGGGTAATGCAGCTTTTTACAAGGTCAAACCGTTTAAAGGTCCTGCACATAACTGTTTGTGTTTAACTCTGTCATTTTTCACTGTTTGTTTAGATCCTGTGTCAGGCACAGTCAACGTGAAGAATGCATCTGCCAGTGCATCTGGCACGTATCGCTGCACCGCTACCAATCGCGTTGGCGCCGAGCAGTGCGTGCTCGATCTCAGCGTGACAGCTAGTGAGTACCCAACCGTCTTAATTAGTGTCTATTCAGTCCATTTCACATGTAGAGCTTCCTGTATTCTGGTGTTTAATGATCAGGTTTGGAGTAGTCGGAGCAGAAGTTTAAAAGGTTTTCCCAAGGTTATACCTCGTGAGCTGCCCTCGCTTTTAGCACAGCGTTTATACCTACATCAGGGGTGGGGAACTCCAGGCCTCGAGGGCCGGTGTCCTGCAGGTTTTAGACGTGTCCTTGATCCAGCACAGCTGATTTAAACGGCTATACAACCTACTCAACATGTCTCGAAGGTCTCCAGAGGCCTGGTAATGAAAACATTTGATTCAGGTGTGCTGACTCAGGGTCAGATCTAAAACCTGCAGGACGCCGAGTTCCCCACCCTGACCTATGTTAACAGTATAAACCGCAGTGGTCATCAGTAACTGTTAAAAAAGGAGGAAAAATCAACAACTTGTTGGAATCTTTAGGATGGTGAATATGACGACGTGCTATTTGTTCAAGACAAAAACAGGTCACCATGGCATTAAAATGTATTTCTAACATAATTATAGATCGATGTCATTCTTCCTCTTATCAAGTTGTAGAATAGTCTGTAAATCTTTAAAACACGGGGAGGACGTCAGTGATGTAAATCCTATATATAAACACTTTGCACCATAATTGCTGTGCTTATTTGCTTTGTTGATATTCAGTAAAAGTTGCTGATTTTATTACTGATCAAATAATCTTCTTGCTTACAGTACAACTGTTACTCATTCTACTGACGCTGTCCTGTTTTGCAGTTGAGTCGGGCTTTGTTTGTTTGTTGTCTTGTTTTTATTGGTTTGTTCTTTTTAAATGTTAGTGTAAAAAGTGTTTGTGGGAAAACTGCTGTTGCTGTAGCGTGTGTCACTAGATTATGAAAAGTTTTCCTCAACACACAAAGTAAAGGTGAGTGCATGAAAAGCCTCCAAGGTTATTATAACAGGAAACGGATTGCCAGGTCAGCAGGTCAACCATCAGTCAAGTGCAAAGTCTGATGAATTCTGCCTTTGAAAGACGGAGTATTAGAGCGACGTGTTGCTGCCGTGCAGGAATGTGGAGCCTTCATTTATGATGTTATTAGATTTCTCCATCGCAGCTTTTGTTAAATCTCACTGAGCGTGTGTGTGTGTGTGTGTGTATGAAGTACTCGTTCTTCTGATCGTCAAACACCACGCTATGGTTTTGTTTACATTTCACTGGAAACCCAGATGTGCTGTCAGCAAACACAGTTTCCATCACATGGATGCCAACAAGGATATTTTGTTCAGTTCAGTACGTTTCGTGTGTTTCATGTGCTTTATGTGCCTGATTAGGATGACATGCTCGTTATGACTCACGAGTACTCTGCTACACCCAGCACCTTCACCCTCTCCTTTCTTTGTGTCGTCCAGTCCCGAATACTGCCGGCATCGTCGCGGGATCCATAATCGCTGTCCTGTTGATCCTCCTCATCATCGCCATTATCCTGTTCTGCTTCTGCCGTGCCCGTAACAGGAAAAAGTACGAGAAGGAAATCTGCAACGAGATAAGGTACTCGATGAGATTTGGCCCTCAAATGCACACAGCTCCAATCTGATGGATTAATATTTTGTATTACTGTCTAGTGTTTGGTGTGAGAGGTGGAGCGTGTCAAGGTTACGTAATGTTGGATTACAGGGGGCGCCAAAAATGCCATAGGTAACCTGTGATTATTGGTGTCGGCTCAGCGTGTAGCATGATTGGTAGTCATCCACACACACACACACACACACACACACACACAACAACCGTGGAAATGGTTTTTATCTCTCAGCGTTTTTATTTTTTTTACCCCTCCTCAAATAAACAGCTGTGGTAATCAGTTTGAAAGCTTTGTTCGTTCTGTGCGTCCTGCTTCGTGTTGCTGCCGGCTGCCCTCCCCCTCAGCCCCCCCCCACCCCCCCCCCACCACCACCACCACCACAGCCACCTACTCTAACTCCCCTCGACGTCCGACTCTTCGTCCGGCCTGTGGGCTCTGCACCATCGCTCTGCCGTGGACTGAATCTGTCTTACACCACAATGTGACACCGCTCGCGCTGTAGGACACAAAGGATTAGACCAACAGTCCTGTCTCGCACACGCAGACGCACATTTGCTGAAACGCCACAGCATGAAAGTACGGACTAAACAAGCGCCGGCCCCTCAGGCTCAGTTTGATTGAGCATTTAACTGGATTATTGCTGCTTATTAGCTGTTAATGTGGTGGCAGAGGGAGTCGAGGGCATGGCTGTGTTTGGATGCTCGGCTCAGTCTCTCCAGGCTTTCGCAGTCGGCGTGACTGAGCTGCGGAGACGATGCCTGACCAGCTGACTTCAATTATTTGCCCCTTATTATCGAGTCAAGTCATGTTTCATTTCTAAATGACTCGCAGTCGATTCGTTATGTTCCTCGCTGTTCCTACCTGTGGACTTTCTCTTGATTTGCAGGGCATCACAAAATCATTCTCAGTGTATTTGACACCAAGTCCATGATGACGAGTTTCCAGGTTTGTTGTCTAAACGTGCTGCTGTCTGTTTCCCCCCCTCAGAGAGGATGTGCCCCCTCCCAAGAGTCGCGCTTCAACTGCTCGAAGCTTCACTGTGGCCAGCCAGCGCTCCTCACTGGGCTCCATGTCGCCTTCCAACCTGCACGAGTATGCCCTGAAGCCTCAGTACGACAAGATTCCCTCATCAGAGGAGTACGACAGGCCTCCGAGCCAGGCTCCGGTGCTGCCGCCCTCGGCCGGCAAGATGGCCGGCTACAACCTGAGTCGCATGGGGGGCATCCCTGTCATGGTTCCTGCCCAGACGAGGGACGGTTCAATCGTCTAGCAGATCGTCTTCACGGGAAAGGACTGTGCAAAGAGGGGATGGAACGGAAGGAAGCGGGACAAAAGCTGGGATGGATGCACTCGCCTGATTTTTAGCTCTTTATTATTTACATACGGGAATATTCTCTGCTTATGGAGACCCGGCTCTGCTGTGGTGCTGAGAAGAGAATTTGAGTTGTGCACAACAGAGTAAATGAAGTTTTTATCAAATGCAAAAACATACAAAAAAACTTTTATGAATTTTGTCTCCTGGACGTAAAGTTAGTGTGGGTATAAAGCAGACCGGCAAAGTAAATATCTATTGTATATATGCATGTTTTTTTGTTTAGTTTCTGTCTCCTGTCTGTTTTTTAAACATACATGGCCCCTGCTGTAGAGTTGTACTGTATGTTTAAAACAGATCCAGGCCCCTGAGTGGCCTGCTGTACAGCTGTATGCATGCATGTATAAAATTACAGCTGTGTGTGCGTGAGCGTGTGTCTGTGAGGCAGTATAAGTTTCTCTTTCATTTGCTTTCTTTAAAATACTAAATAACTGTTTGATCCAGTCTTCACTCCTCAGAGACGCTCGTTAGGAGGAAAGTCACAGATCTGGTTTAATCCCTGCACCAAGTGCACCGACTGCTTATGTGGGTCAGCCGTTTTCTTTCCAACGCTTCTTCTGTTGTTTGAATTGTCCACTGTGGGGTTGGCCGGGGATTTGAGGGTGGACAGGATTGGCTGGCGGCGAGGGGGAGGTTCAGCCGAGCAGATCTTGTGATTGGGTGTATTATTGCTTCTTGAGCGAGCTTGAAAAGGAGCAGTGTCCATCCCCCAACTCTTCTCCAGAAAACTTTGAAGAGGTGTAGAGAAATAACGGAGGCCGCTGGACAACAAGGTTCACTGAGCACTCGGCACTGATTATGTTTGACAGGCCTTTAACCACCCGAAGGACGAGTAGGCATCCCGAACGGGTTAAACACCAAGTTTGAATTCATTGGTAGTAGCTCAACCCCCTCAGAGCTGCCACGTATGCAGTCCTCTGTATCTGAGGTGCATTACAAGGAGCCTGTATCTTAATTAACCTTCTCTGTGTGGTTAATGTGAAACCTTTTGTGGCTTAATTAAGATGTTTTTTAATGATGTAAAGCAGGAGGAAGACAGTTCCCACACAGAGAAACAAATGGTGAATATTCTGTGTGTCTACGTTATAACCGGTCCAAGTTTATCTTGCTCTCAGATCCTGTGAACGTTGGTGCAGCCGGTCGGTTTAAGTTGCCACAGCGACGTTGGTTATTTAATTCCCATTCTTCCACCATTTGGAAGACCAAAAATCTCAGCTTCTATTTTCTAAGAAAAATAAAGGCAGTAATTTAGCAGGAAAAGCGTTTCTTTTCACTCTGACGCCTTATTGTACTCCTCGTTTTAGCCTTACACCTTCTCCTCCGTTCACTTCCTCACAGCTCAGTTATGATGACTTCTATCGTGCCTTGGTTTCCCAGTTGAGTTGCGTTGTAGCGCGTCTGCCACTGGTACACCGCGCCGTGTGCAGTAACATCGCCCTGCATGGCCGCCAGTGCCACGACATCAGAAGAACAATAATCTATGCGCAGCCTGTTTTGTACCTTCTGTTGTCCCACTCCCACTTGCCTCATACGATTTTTCCCACGGCTTGCAAAACCTTTACGACTGTCTTAAACCTATTTTTTTATTCCAAAAACATGATTTTGTTCTTCTTTTTTTTAAACTTCATTTTAAACCTCAGTAATTGATGTGCTTTTTAAGAAAAGAGACAAAACAGCTAAATGGCTCTGGCTGTACGTATAAATATTTTGTCAAACTAACCCTATCTAATCGCAACAAAATGAAAGATGTAAAGACGACACTGTCTATGTGGATGTTTGTGATGCTCTGCTGTGCTTGACAAATCTATATCTAGGAGGGGGTTAGTGCAGAGAGCGTGTGCGTCAGGTTTTCGTGTGTGAATCCCAGTATCTAAGAGGAGGTGACAGCTGTAGAAAAGTCTTGGCCCCTGGACTGCAGATTTGATGTAACACCAAGAAAAGTGAGATGTGGGCCTGTCTAGACAAAGAATTACATCTGTCAGATCTACTTAAACACTCTTCTGTGTGCAGGTTTGTGTGTGCGAGAGAGAACTGGCTGATGTGTTGCTGAGGGGAGTTTGTTGTGGGCCCTTGTAGGATTCTCTTTAGACCCTTCACCTGCTGGCAAAGTGTACAGAGGGGCTCCTGCTACTGTCCCCCTCTGTGCTCACAACATTAATAACTAATATTACTAACCGTACTAACAGTAGCTTTGAAATCAACCTGCTAATACTATATGAAGATCTACTTTTGAGGTTTGCACATGCGTGGAAACCACTTTTCTTTTTTGTGTGTATCATTTGTGCTTTATTTTTGAATAATAAAAGTCCATGAAATAAGGAAACGCTTGGCTGTTGTCGTTTTTTGTTTCTCTGAGCACTAAAACGTTTATCTCCCGTCCAGCAGCGCGCTCACTGGGGACCCGGTCTCCTGTCCAGCTGATTGTGATTAATTTCAGGCAGTCGCTGAGTTCCACCCCTTACACCAGGTGAGGTGACTTTCTAACCGCTTAATGACCGCCATTAGTCAAAGAAGCAGGCAGGCGGCGATTGCGCCTGCCATTTCCACTCCACGCCGTTCGAGCTCAGAATAAACACGCAGAGGTTGGAGCCCACCTATTCTGTGCGCCACTTACATCGACTCATCGTCACTCCCTGGTTGCGCCGTTCGGTCTCTGGCATCTTTGCCATTTGTTTCCGTGTTTGCTTACATTTTCAATTACAGCCAATTTGCTCCCTTAGTTAATGTGGTGGGTAATTACGTTTACTGCAAGCCTGCACTAATCAAACTTGTGCAAAATTTGCTTCCTAATTAAGTATGCTGAATGATGTGAAACGCCTGGTTAACAGCTGAGGCACACATGTTGGTGTCGCGTCTTTCTGTTGCAATCACTGTCCTCAGCCTCTTTATACACTTAACATGCTGGTGATCTTGACATGCGGATGGATCAATAGATGATTATTAGCCAAAGGCTACACCGCGTGCAGGCTGTGGACAGGTAGTCAATAACCAGACTAAAGCACTTAGCAGCACTGCTAAGTGGACGTCCATCGCTGTAATTGGATGTCGGTAACAGATAGGGCCACGGAGCATTGATCTGTGGCGAGTCCGAGTCTCCCGTGGAACCTAATAGCTCCCCAGCAGTTGTGCACATCGGGGTGTGTGCAGCTGCACTGATACCAGCGCAATCTCAGCCACCTTTACAAATGGATGTGACTGGATGTAATGGCACTTTTATGGCTGCGCATTCCAAACATTCATTAAAAGGACATTAGTGATGTGTGCTAGTGCACGTGTAGAGATGAGATTTATGGACTAAGCGCTGTTCTCTCATTGAATTAATGTACAAAGAGTCATACATCATCAGTCTCCTCCAGCCCAATATCCATTTGTAGCATTTTTTACCTCTTGTCCTCATTCACATAGCTGAGGGGAGAGAGTGGTGGTGCACTGAGCACCTGGGGATTTGTGCCTGCCTCCCACTTCCCCGGCCCTCCCCCCACCTTCTGCCTGGCTAAGGTATTAATTGTTTGTACAGATAAAGGAGGCTGGTACAGCAGAAAAAAAACACCAAAAAAAACCTCATTGGTTCTCCAGGAGGGTTTCCTTGGCAACCTTATCTGGTTGTATACAGTCTAAGCTGGCTGCTAGAGGGATGATTTATCTGCCTGCTAACAAAAGAGGCCTCTAAAAGCACAGGTCTCATCAAAGTCGCTATCCTGTCTCCTGTCACAGACGCTAAGCTTTCTGCCATTTTTAGAAACCTCCCTCAGGTTGGGAGAGGGTTGCAGGGGGAATTCTGGGCCGGATGGTGGAACATGCATAATGTGAAGAGTCGGCTCCATCGGCACAGCAGTACATTAAGTTTTTGGCTCAGCACTCTTAGCACTTTGGATGCAAAAATGGCACACAGATTATGATGTGAAAGTAAGCTTTTACAGCCACGTCGGATGAATGACTGAGGAGTTCAGCCCTTTTTGGACGTGGCCTCCCTCGCGTTTTGGTCTCTATAGTATTCTGATGGATACAGAATCTGGATTCTTCTTGATGTCAAAACGGGAAGCTTTAAGTCGTACGTGCAATGCTGCAGCACTCTTCAGAAGCTTTTAGCTTCACGCTCTAAATCCAGCACCTTCTCATACTTTAATGGTCATAATATTAATGTCACACATGTGGGATACTGGATGTGAAAATACACCTAAATAAAGCTGACAGCCTGAACTTTCAATGCATGTCACCGTGCCATGTCAGAGGAACGGGAAAAGGAGGCGCAACATCAATTTTCCATGCAAACAGCCACAGCTCTCAGCCATATGTCGCCTTGAACAACCCGCACGCCGAGGCTGGAGACCTCGGAGGATGCTCTGTGAAGAGGGAGTTGAGTCGCAACCTGAGCCAGTCATCCCGCCCTGTCTGCTGTGCCCACCGACAGCCTGGATCTCTCGTGGGGCCCACCCAGCTGGCATGTACTCATTTGTCAGACTTGGAGGAAGAGACCGCTGGTACACCAACCATTGCCCCCTCCCACATCCTCCACGCATCCGTGCCTCGCCATTTGGTCGATACGGAGTCATCCGTTTAAAGGTTGACGTCTGCACACGCTGCATCTCAGCGTCATCTTGGGTCACTATTTTCGACCGCATGCCGCTCACATTTGGATGACTAATATGTGACTTTTGATGAATGACCTTCCCCTCTGTGCTCAAGGGAGGAAAGGGGAGCAGAGGCGGATTCACGCTGAGATTGCACTCAGTCCAACAACATGTTTTTTCCCTCAAGATCCTGTTCTCTCTGCTCTCTCTGGACTGATTTTGGTGAGCTTCATGGATCGGTAAAGTGATGCTCATCTGCACATGTGACACTTTTACTGGCAGGGAGATCACTGTGTGTGGCAAGAACAAAAACGAAGTTCCTTAACCGCACAATGCATTGGAAAATAAACATGTTCAGAGTTGGTCCTCATCACTGAAGCATATGGCAGTGGAGGACAAAGGAACAGTGAGAGCGCCAGATCAAACGGCGTGCTCAGAGAAACGACTCCTGGTTTAATATCCTCCCTGAATACTGTACTAGATCTTCAGTCACCCAGTACCTCTGATCTTTTGTCCCAGCCTTGTGCCGTTATCTCCTATCTCCTCCCTTGGCTGAAGCTGAGAGATTGGAATCGGGAGCACTGCAGTTAAAACCTCACACGGCAAGATGGAGGTTACAGCTCGCCGCAGTCGTTTACAATGTGATTTGTACTTTTAATCTGAACCTCGGCCGGACTCTATTATAGGTGATCAAGCTCCAATGCCGTGTCATCGGGAGGGCACAATCGAGGCCAACAATAAAATGTAGCCTCGGGCCACAGTTTCCCTTCTTTTCTCCTTCTGATGATTGGGGTCATCTTTGTTATTACCACAGTGATGTCAGTGATATATTACGTGTGTGAGTCTCTCAGTGCCTGTCCATGTGTGAGTTCATATATATCAATGCTGGCATGTGCTTCCATGTTTCCTGTGTGGCCACAGTCAGGGCAAAGGTCAGGTTACTGATTTAAGGAGATGGGGCGATCCCAGTTCCCTCTGCACCAGCACAGCTAACACTTACACCACCTCAGGCTGTTTCCAGCTGAGAAATTAAGATGCATGAAGTCGAAGTATATACATGCTTTCTCTCAGCCGCATCACTCAGCTATGCAGATGACACACAGCTTTATGTCCCTATGACAGCAGTTAAACATAATACTTTAGTACAGTAATTAGAGCACGCTGTAGGCATTAAAGGTACTGCGCTCAGTGGTTGGAATTATATCTGTCTAATAGACTGCAGCTTGTTCACAAACGAAGGTTAATAATGGAGTTCCACAGGGTTCAGTGTTAGGACCAATATAAGGCAGTGTTCTTCAGGTGCAGAGCATAAATTTGCACTGCATCATAAGCCAAACGATGCACCAGTTAGTTACATAAACAACCTCTAATTTTCTGCTTCTGAGTTCAGATCAAAGGTCGTTGTACTCAGCCCTAAGAATCGTAGAAACATGGAGTCTAACCAGATACCTCCCCTGGGTGGAACGACCTTTGCCTCCAGTAACACTGATGAATCTGGGAGTCGGTTTTGACCAGGATATGTCCTTCACTGTGCACGTTAGACAAATATGTTGGACTGCTGATATCTGCAATATCTCTAAAATTAGAAACACCCTGTCTCAGCGTGATGCTGAGAAACTACTTATTACTTGTAGGTTTAACTATTATAATTCATTATCATCATGAAGTCCTAAAACTCACTGATAAGCCTTTATTTGGTCCAAAATGCTGCAGTGAGAGTGATGACAAACGTCTTCCATCTCAGCTTCTCTTCATAGTTGAACTGAATTTAAAATTCTTCAGCTGACACAGCTGAAATCAGGCCTCATCTCATTTTGAAAACAACATTTTTATGAATCACTCTGCATTGACTCATTCGTTATTATTCATCTCCGGCTCTCTTTCACAGGGTCTCTTCTGTCCCGCCCCTCGCTGAGCCCAGTTCTGCTGAAGGTTTCTTCCTGTTAAAAGCGGGTTTTTCGTTCCCACCGTCACCAAACGCCTGCTCATAGAGGGTCGTCTGATTGTTGTGGTTTTCTGTGTTATTGTACGGTGTTTACCATAAACAGTGCGCTGGGGCAGCTGTTGTGATTTAAAACAAATGTAGTATAGTCATCAAACTGGAACTGGGACGCCAGTGGTGCATCTTGCGGGTTATTCTGCAGGTGTTTTACCAGTTCATAAACTTGTGAGTTTGGATGTTGGGTGATTGCCTCAGGTGTTACTCACTGACCCAGTTATTGATAGAGTGTAATTTAGTCAGGATATTAAACATTAAGTGATAATTATTTTCACTTCTGTCGCTGTAAAGGTAACAGATGTTTTTGGACCACTGCTAAATTAACTGAACTTCAGGAGCTCTTATTTCCAAAGTGTCCACCTGTTTCTGAGTCTAAAATCCCTGCATCTTAGATACTCTTTCTCATTTCGAGGTTGCTAACATCTGCTGTCTTACTGGTGTTAGTTAAGCTTGCAGGGCCGTGTAGATGCTACGTGTTGGCACAGTGTAGCAGGCTGAACTGTCTGTGTATGGGCTGACAGGAGCTTTGAGATGTGTTGGTGCTGCAGAACAGAAACATAAAGTGGATCTTTGCCAAAC